ATTAAAATCATAATAATAAACATATTAACTTGAATATAGTTGAATTATTTAAAGTATAATTATACTGACATTGTCTTTATTTATATTAGATAAAATTCACTTATCGGAAATCTCAATTCATTCTGGTGATAATAAAAACCTTTATCCTGTTATGTTTTTATCATAAATATAAATTACGCAAAAATCTACTTCGCTATAGAAACCCATAACATGCATTCCCCATGGCTGCAATGAATCCTCAATTCGTCGCTTTGCGTGCCTCCATTAAAGATCTTAATGTGTTATCATTTACATATTGAAATATTCAATTAATTGTTGCAAAAATCTCGTTAATTGTTGTAATTAGTTACAAATTCGTCATATTTGAATGGCGAATTAAACGAACATTAACCGAAATCATAATATGCAAAGATGCCTATGGGTCCTACCACATATATCCTTTAGCGAACCATTCGTTTTGCAACGAATACATAATAAAGGCGAATCTATTCTTACGTTTAACAAGATACAGCGGCTGGCAGCCTGCCTCCTGCCAAATTGCTTAAGGATTGTTTAGCCTTATAGCTCAATAAAGAATCCGGTTGTTCGTTCGATATAGCCTATGTTCTTCATTAGAAATCTTCAAATTTTCATGCTTAAAATAAATAAATATATGCTCAATTAATTGCTGAAATGAGCCGTTAATTGAGCATTACAATAAATTTTATTCTCGTATGACTCATTAATTAAAAACCACATATTTCGTTATCTCTGCTGATAAACTTTGACGATTCCTCGAGGCTGTGTTATGCCCAACAGATTATTCAGAAGATACAAACCAGTTCGTCATGCATCCCGCAATAATGAATGTAAGTAAACGGTCTTTATTATTATTTAAACACTTCATTAATGTTCAATTATACGTCTTATTATTTGTGTTAAATATAAAGTAATTATGAGACATAACAACGGTATAAATATCTATAGATTGCAGCCGAAGTAGATAAGGATAGAGTTAAAAGTACAATAGGAAAAGCAACATGTAAGGATTAGGTGAAGCAATAGGAATTGCCACAGAATTATATGAACGTAAGAAGGATAGGAATGAAATTGTCACGTACAGAATACTTCAGAAAATTGTGTAACGTGGTAGTTTGCTGTGTGAATTTGTAATGGTTGTTCGTTCTCTACGTAGTTCTCCGTCGTGTGAAAACAGTTTTGACGCGATTGTAGCAATCTCAAAAAAGTGCGTTGTTACTACGTATTCGGCGGGGTATAATAAGGCCGGTATCGTCTTTTCTTTTACTACGTCACCGAAAACTAACTTATGGCAGCGTTATATTGATATTAATGACGACATCATTAATGATGTGTAGTTATCGTGTTTTTAATTAAATAAAAATATACCACCGGAGGTTTAACGTTGTTTTAAAGATTCTAAGTCATTTTATTTCTCGAGTAATGAGAAATAGTTTATTTTCTCGCGTATGAATAAACATTATACGATTTCATAGAAAGCACTCATATAAAATGTCACCTTTAAAATTAATAGGAACTTGTAAATTTCAAGTTGATTTATTCCGTTAGTGCTATTTCGTGCACAAAACAATGGAAAACTTTATGATCTCATTTAGTAATTAAAAAAATTCTTAAAGAATATATTAAAATACATTTTTCACATATTACAATTTACTATGTAACTTATATACAAGGTATTTACAGTATGTACTGTACTTTACTGTTGGTGTAAACTATAATCCTTATATATTAATAGAATGACAGAACTACAGAAATTACCGGTTTATCTTTCTAAAGGCTAAGGCCACTAATCGCCTCGAAACTCCAGAATTTTTTCTAAATTATAATTAGTTTAGTAATAATAGTTTTATAATTAATTTAGTAATTATAATAGAAAATTTTTAAACAAAAAGTAATCGAAGGTAAATCTTATTTAAAACAATTCGGAATAAATATGTCATAATAAATCTCTCTCAAAGCAGGCAGATGGCGTTGAATAATGACAATTAAGACGCCATTTTGGCCCACCAGTGACCGAGCGGTTCCGCTCCCTGAACACTGGAGTTCGATCGTGGGTTTGCGCCTCGCTCGTAGGGACTGGCCACGTGAATTTTTCCAGGTTTTCTCCACGTCTGTAATGCCTGAATAGGGACAAGTTACCCTTAAAAGACCTGCGTGGTGGCATTATTCCCCGCGTAACGACCATTATAAACGCATTCAACTATTATTAAATGACAGTACACCGCGGGGCGATATATCGTAGAAGCTCATCCAACCAGCTACGACAAGAGAAGACGCCATTTTGTTGTAAAGGCGTCAAGGATTAAATTTTGACGATTTATTGAGAATAAAATTTCTTTTTGTCCAGATTTTAGATTATTAGCAGTATAATATTTGACGTCACTGATCTATATTATTCTTTCATTTTCCATGTGTATAAGCTAATACTGCATCTTTTTTATGTAGATTAATACCATTACTGCTCCGACCTATATAACTAATGTGGAAGTGAACTCGCATCGGCCGAATTTAGTTACATATCGGACAATATTCAATTATTCTGTCTGTTTACTCACTTTTGGATTATTCTTGTTAATCACGGGATCAATTGTGACAGCGTGTGCTTACGTTCCTCCATTTAGCGATCATCTGCAGTATGTGGGACCAACTTTGTTAGCTTTTGGAGCACTTTTCACCATAACGTCAATAATTATTTTCTGTATAGCAAAATATAGGATGAAAAAGGGTTCAACTGGACGAAATTTTGCTCCTTCTGCTCCTCCTCTTCCACTTCCTCCAGTCTATTTCAGACCTCAGATGTTGGAAAACCACGCTTCTCGTAACCCATCTTACGTGCTTCCAATCGAGCATCGTGGTACCTTGGATGATCAGCCGCCGTGTTATCGTTGTGTGATGCAAAATAGTCAACCGTCGAAGTGCAGACATTACAATTATGGTACGTGTTAAATTGTGTGTCTAACATTGTATCTTGATTTTGACGGCGTGACGACGACGAGATGCGTCGTCATTACATGGGAACGTTTCGTAAAAAACCGGCCTAATTTGCAATGATTTAATCAAGGAACAATACAATTTTCAAAACAGATATTCGGCATCGTCATAAACGAGTAATCTTCGCTTCCCCCTGTACAGTTAAATGATTTTAAGTGCTTCGAAATTTCGTTAACATTGATTCCTATTAAATCGTCTCTTTTTTTATAAAAAAAAATCTATATAAAGCAGATTTTTAACTCTTTTCGCCCTGTGGGCACTAAGAGGGCCTTTTTAAGTAAGCCCATTATGGGTTCGTCCAGACCCACAATGGAAGGACGAGTGGTGAGGAACGAGGACCGACATATCCGAATGGACTAACCCCCAAAAAATTCCTAGGGATTTTTCGACTCGGATATATAACACTTTATAATATATAACTATTATTTTAATTTTAATTTATCTAACGAAATTTTTCGTAGTTTCGTTAGATAAATAATAATTTTAAATGTAAATAGAGTAAGCCTACTTTGTAAAAAAAATGTCCTGGTTTAACTTAAATTAATATTAACGCGTAATACGGTACTTTTAATTGTGATTGTTAGTTAATTATTAGTTGTAAATGAATTATTGAATTCTTTCATAAACATATTTCTCTTAGTGACGAAAAAAAATATTATACTTTTGTTAATTTCTGGAACGGACCTTATGTTTTGTATTAGTCCTTTGTTTCGTATAGCACGGATTCGCATAACGCGACATTATTTCGGAACGTATCTACCGTATTACGCCACGAATACCTGTAAATATCGATAATTACCTTGTTTGCAAATGCAGGTTTAACTTCGGAATGGATGAAGTAACCGAAACGTTAAACTTTTATAAAAAGTAACATTCAAAGTGTAAATTACACGTTTTTTAAAGGTCTTTCCTCTCCGCATTAAAACTTTTTTTCGTGTTCATTGTACGTTCGGCTGCAAGCCACCCCTCGACAGCCCTGGATCCGACGCACCCGTGAAAATCCGTCTTAACGCGAAAATTTGAGCCGACCAAATCTGGAATTCGGTATTGTCCGAATTTTCCGAAGAGTTTGACCCGGATATGTCGGTCCTGGTCCCGGTCGTTCCCGTTATAGACACGAGCAAATGTCACCGGGCGAAGAGTTACAAGTATTATAATAAGAAAAAGCATTTTTTTTAATCTTTGTTAAATTTCGAAATATAACACCTCACTTATTATCTTTATTTATTTTAATTTTTAAAAAATTCCCCGTAATTTCGTTAGATAAGTAACAATTTTAAATGTAAATAGAATTTTATACGCTGCGTATTATTAAAAGTGTAATTATATCGATAACATTTTTTCCTCTCGAGTCGTTTTCCTTTTTAATCGCTTATCAGAAATTTTATTTTATTCCAACGATAATAAAAATAACCTTTATCTCGTTTTATTTTTATCGTAAATTATGCAAAAATCTGCGTATTTTCTACATTAAACGTCGTAATGACTTACCATTTACATTATAGAATATATGACACGCATATAAACAAAATAATTATATGATGATGGTGAGGAGAATTAGTAATACAATTTTAAACATTACCAATACTTAAATTCCTCCATGCCTATTGTTGGCATGGCGAATAACGCGCGACCGGGCAAAGTGAGCACCTTTGAAATACAGTAGAGCGTCGATTATCCGAAATTCAATCATCCGAAAGAATTCCAGCCGGCAAATTTAAATTTTCGCCAGTGCTGTGGTGCTGCAATCTTTGGCTATGTCTTGGGCTACTCAAATATTTTACGTTTTGATACTAAATTAACTTCTGAAGTATAATTTTTTATCGTTTTTATATTTTTCAATATATTTATTTTGTTCGTACAAGATAAAAAAATAATTTTTAACGATACAATAGTCTTCGTTAGGCTTAACATCGACGAAAATTCAACGCAAAGCGACACACAACGGAGAAAAATGTCAAGATGGGATAAATTAATATATTTTTTCGTACATAATCGGTTATCCGAACAACCCCAGTCCCCAATTGATTCGGATAAACGACGCTCTACTGTTATTTGAAAAACGTTTCCTCACTCCTTTAACATCCGAAATTCGTTAGAAAACGCGATACACTGTACGCATAAAACGCAATTAAGAGGACAGCAGCGCCAAATTTAGAAAAAATTATAAATGTATTTGCCGATGCGGGAATCGGAAAATTAAACTCGAAGTAAAGAAAATACGACATTTTAATTCTGTGTTAATTTTTTAATCAAACTCACTGGACCAAGGTCTTACATTTGTGAGGTCTCGTAACATTTGTTACAAATCTTATACCGAATTCGAGTGCCTTTCACGTGTATTAACGGAGGGGGGAGACTTTGAAACTTTCATTTTTCTGTGTTATTTCCTCATCTGAATATTGTATGAGTTACATGACCAGAAAATGACATCTTTATGACTGTAGGGTCACGCGTTATAAGTTAGCCAATAAGCATTCGCCTACTAAAAGTAAAATAAACGGTAATTGGTCTAACTGTAACTCCTTGATCATTGGTTGGGAATACGAGATTTGTTCTTAAGCGTGCCACTTTTTCGGTTTTAATGTATGTCTCGTTTAAAAGATAATTAAGTATTAAATTAAAATTTAAAGAAATTATTTTATTTATCTTAAACATTTCGTCGGAAATTTCGCCTTCCGTTATCGCCGCAGATAATAAATACGACGTCATAAAAACGTCAAAGTTACTAGAGATTATTTAGAATATCCCAACGAGTTCGTCATTCGTCATGCAGCCTGCGACAAGTAATGTAAGTTAACAATTTTTATTATTTAAATACACCTAAGTTAATTTCGATATAGTTTTATTTCATATTTAACAAAATATATTCGGGCAGATGCAAAAAACAATTATAGATTTCAGACATAAAAATTTTACAAATTACCAAACAACTCTCGAGAGTAGTTATTTTCTGTGGAGAAAAAACACAGGAAACAATTGAACGGGAAAGGCAGTAGAAATAACCGTAGTTAGTAGGAATAAGGGTAGAAGTACGATAGAACAGTAGGCGATTAGGCAACGGAATGGAAATAAAAACGTTGGCGATTGGTAGCAGAAGAGGATTAGAATATAAAGAAACAGTGTTAGAAGTGAGGTACAGGTGGGTAATCAATGTAAGTGTCCCAGTCTGGAGAATAGCAGCACAAAGTTTTGAAAGTGTTGCAAACCGTTTCGTACACATTATGAACAGAATATTAGGGTAAACATTGGTAAATTTGTGATAAAATTAATTATTCTTTAATTATCTGACGTATATTTCGTAAATAGAAATGTTAACTATACTATTAAAGAGGCCATACTCTTAACAGCGTGGCTTTTTATCATTAGGAATACAGTAGAACCCCTCTAATCCGTCACCTTTGGGACTGGGGGTATGGTCGGAACGCAAAAAAGGTCGGATTATCAGAAAAAAGTAAAATAAACAATCTTCCCTTTGTCCAATCTTTGTAGCACTGCTAACTTTTCATTTAATGAAAGAGTAACGTGTTTACGTTTCACTCCTGACATGTTGAAAACACACACAAAACTGTACACGTACACACAATGTAAAACATATACTGTAACGAACACAGAAGAACGCGACGGACGGTGAGTCACCGACGAGTCGGGACAAGTTTCTCGACTCCGACCACGGTCGGATTAACCGGAGTGACGGACTAGCCGAGGGCGGACTAGAGGGGTTCTACTGTATGTTTACATCTTACTCGTAGTTTTCTAGTGGTATATTTCTTATATTGCGTGCAGGTATTTCGTCATATCGTGGATAACTTTGTGATAATACATTGCTAATTTCGTGAGAGGATACTTTAGCTTATATGTTGGGCTGCAATTTAAAACATTGTAGACCTATAAATTCCCACTGTCGTCCGATTTTCTGTCCTCCTTTAATTAATATCGAGAACGAAGTTGGATAGGTGAAAGACGAGACCGGATGTGGAAAGATTAGGGGCAGGAGGCCCCTATTAACTATACTTAAACTTTTGATGCAAGCCAGAAGTCGTGTTGTTTTAATTCAATTCCGAAAAAAAGATGACCAACACGACTCTATCGTTAAAGGAAATGTATGATGTACGGGGGAAGCCGATACTAATTTGAGGTAGAGAGAATGTATTTTAAATGATATAAATGAAAAATATGATTAAAAATTGCAGTCTCCTTCAACACTTGTACAAATTTCCAATATTTTTTTATTATTATTATTCCTACGATAGGAGTCTTTCTGCCAACACATAAAATGGCAATTTACTCAAACGAAGGAAATTTTCAAATTGAATATATTCCGCGCTATCTGCCAGCAAAATTTGAAATCTCGTTTTACAATTACTTATTTTATGAAGATGAATTTAAAAAGTATCACGGAATTACCAATGTTTACCCTATAAAAAGTATAAATTAAGCTTAAATCAATATACTTCTTTTAAGCTAATTTTACAACTTTGAGGACAATTTCACTGAATAACAATAACATTATCTTAAAGGCCAACATACGTTTTAATTCGTACAATTCGGATATCCGTGTAAATAGCAAACGTGTGTGTATATACTTCCGAAAAGCAGTCTCTATGGGATGATTCGATTGTCTAAATTTCGCAATAAAATCAAATAATATAAGTTCTTCCCCGTCATTTTCGTTTGGTGTTTTATCATCACGGGAGCGTAAAAATTGTAATTCACTTGCTACAGCCTTTTCCGTCGATTTGACACTAAACTAAGTTACCTCAAAGGGGGATTATCTATCAATTGTGCCACTTTTTTCTAGTCTATTAAAATGTTTCAATAAGTTTTATATATAAATACATTACTCTCATTACATTTATATATAAAAGTGTTACATACATTAATCTTTTCGTTCCTTGCAGATTAATCGTCATACTATTCAGTTGTATACAACTAATATGGAAGCGAACACGCAAACGTCGAATTTACTTTTATATCGTCGAATATTTTATTTTTCAACTTATTTAGTGTTTTTGGGTGTATTTTCTTCCATCACAGGAATCGTAATGATGACCGTTTATAATCCTCGATTTTACGATTCTTTCTCTATGAAACAAGATTCGGTTCGTCAAGTGGGGGAAATTGTGTTAGCTTTCGGCATACTCTTCATCGTGGTATCCGTAATTTGTTTCTGTGTAGTCACAATTAAGACTAAGAAGCGTACGTTGAACGTAAATAGATGGCAACGAAATTCTACGTATTCTGTTCCTCTACCGGATCCTTCCACCGACTTCGTAGCTCACGTATTTGAAAACGACATTTCTGGTAATCCGTCGTACTTGTTTCCGACCGATCGTCGTGTTTCTCCTATAACCATTGACGATAAGCCGCCGTGTTATTATTGTGTGATGCAACAAATTAGGCCTTCGGAGTGTTTAAATTGCAAGTTAGTTTCATCTGCAAGATGAATTGCACGTTGCAATTGTCACACTGCATTTCTTCTGATTATAAGTGTTGTATCTCCATACACCAGTGAGGAACTATCAGAATTTTCACAATTGTAAGTTGTAAAGAAATTTAATTGTGAACGAACAGATGAGGAAGAAGACTTGCTAATTTTTTCTGAAAATCAATTAGCAATTTTAAAAGTTTTTATCATCGATATAAAATTTGTTAATATACTGTATTTAATGACTTTAAAATGATACAAAAATTTTAGAGATGATGTGGAGAAGAACGTATTGTATATTTTAGAAGCTGTTGTGTTCGCTTGATTTTCTAATTTTTATATTAAAAAAATAACTTTAAATATTGAATTAAAAAACAAACAGGCTGTGCTCTCTCATTGTAACTCGCTAAATCCTTTATGGACTGCCCGAGTGCTCTCTATAGATTTTATTGTATTATGCATAGACAGTTTAGATGGATATTCAAAATGCCAATGTCTGTTTACAATATGCAATCCCGCAACCACTTAAATTAACGTTGGCGAAACTATCACAGGACATAAAACAGGAATGGGAAGGAAATTTAAAATATGGTTACGTGTTGCTAAGAAATACAGAATGCCTCAAAAATCAGTTAACTGTTGTAAAGACTAAATTGCCGTCTTATTCAAATATTTTCTTGCTTGCAAACTTGAAACTGTTCAAGATTGTTAGTTCGATACAATAATCACGCTTTACTATTTTCGCAAATTCAAATTTCTTCAATAAGTTTTTTGTTAAATCGTTGTCAACTGATTTCTGGGGCATGCTTCGTATAATCTTTGCCATTACCGATTTCTATGGAATTTTATTACATGATGAAACGTAGTAGTATAGGTTTTTATACTAACATGCTGAAGTTTATGCTTAGCATACAAAAAAAAACAATATAAAAATTCTCGAATTGAAATATTTTTATGCTATGTCCGAGGATGTAATGGTGATTTATGGACAAGTATATATATAACAAAAAATAATCATCATAAAAGGTTATAACAAAGGTGTACATGTGTTAATGGACGTTTGTAACGAGGATGTAATATTTGAAAAAACATTCACATTGTAATTATCTCGTACTCAAGGACACGAACGCACGAAATAGATTTTTAAAAAACTATCAAGTGTTATAATTTTATAAAATTTTATTTAAGCTCATTGTGACAATAATCCATAGTTATAAAATATTCATTATCAAAAACATTTCAAGACTTCATTTTTCAATATTATACAGTAACAATTACAGTAACATTTGGGGGGATTTTTAACAATAGGCAATTTTAAAAATTCGATGATAGAATTTCATGATGATGCAAAATTCTTTATCATTTAAACCGTTTCTTTCTTGAATTTCCTTAAAGTTTGAGTCAACGTTATCTTGGATAAAGAAGTTTCTTAGTGGAATAATTAAAAAAAAACACTTGTACAAATTAAAACCCATTTTTCTTTTTGGAAAATGAAAATTTGAACGGTTTTTGAATAATAAAATTGTCGTGAAAGACTTTTAAACAAATTTATTAAAATATGTAAATGAAAACTGCAAGTATATCTTTGTTATTTGGTCGATTTCACAGGTTCTTCAAGTATGGATTCAACTTGTCCACCTTTCAGAGGAGCCACTTTTTTCTATAGTTTTCTGTTGATGAAATGTCTTAATTTATGTATTTTATTTACGCGAAGAGCTAACTTTGCCATGAATAATTCGTCATAATGTATAAATCATCAAAAATGGCGCTAAATAAACTTACATCTATCAACGCAATAAATTTTATATTACGAGTGAATGAATCAAATTAACTCGTAAACTGATTTAGATAAATCGGGTGAGTCGCCCGAATTTTCAGTTTGGATCATCCGAGTTCGAAATTGAGGTCGATATTTACGAAAACGAAAGGAGACGAAGATTTTCTTTTCGCCACTCTTTGCGCGTACGTCATCAATCGCAACGATAAGGCCGCTTACGTAAAAGATTGCGAGTGACATCAGAAAGGAGACAGAACCAATCATCATAGCGACTATTAATACCGATGACACGTCGTATTCTAAAGAATCTGAGGATCCGTAACAAAATCTTCTCACTGCGAAGCCCGAGAGTGAAAAGACCATTCCAAAACAGATTAAGTAAATGCAGCATACAATACTAAAAGCAGTGTACTTGATTAAATTCGGCGAATTGCTTCTTTTCTTTCTGTCTACGGCGAAATCGAGAGGGCGAATTTTCTAAATTTAAAAAGAAAAATTAGTTAAAACAGAAATATAACCATTTATAACAATGTCTAAACGGTTGTACTGTCCAAAAGTATGGAATTATCCAGTAGTTTTCGATTAAACAAAAAGGTATTTTAATCTCTGTTGTATCCTTTCGGTAACATTAATACAATATGGCTGTAACATTTGGTCGCGATTGCGTCGTGCAAACCAACTTGTTTAATATGTAATTAAAAGCCGAAACGTGCAAAAATATATCAACTAACAAGAAAAGAACTACTGGGATATTCGAGAAGGTTATTCGAAGAAACTCAAAAGCCAAAAAGGAAATACAGCATGCGTAATGAACTCCACGTCGCAAATCCGTAGAAAACAGGTCAAGCCAGTCGAATACGATTCTAATTTCAAATCTCTTTCCAGTGTGCAATAGTCTCAGAATAAACCAGTACACTTTTTCATAGGTGAGTGTTATCCTTCCCTCTTCACGGTAACAAACACTTTACCCGGGGAGATTAATCGTGGCAGCCGTTTTTCATTTCAGAGCAGAACCACTTTTTCCTTTCCTACGACCCTGCATTGAAAGACTAAGCGTGTCATCGAAGAGATATGTTTTTCTAGAGAGTTTTCACAGATGTTATTTCCAACGCCTTCGCTATTTGTGAGACTCCAGACTGAGATTAATATCTCTCGGAGCAAGAAGGAAACCGCTGTTAATTGAAAAATTGTGAATGAACAAATAAAGTATGGTGAATAGACTATAAACAAATGGCGCTAGATAATATTCTCTGATGAATCGTTTCAATTGTTTGGCAACAATCCCTCTATTGCCAGGATGATTTCTAGTGGAACCTATCAGAGTATCATTATGACCGCTAAGAATCCCGAGTTTCTTGCGATATGGGGCTACATCTCATTTAAAGACTATAGATAACTGCTCTTTATCAGAGATTTGATGAATGCCACTCAATATAAGCTATGAAGTGTTAATTACATGAAAACAATTTGGAGTTAGAAGTCAAAACACTTTGCAGTTCCAACCTTACTTGGCACGTTGACATACAGTCAAAAAGATGAAGAATTGTATTTTATTGCTTTACAGATCACAAACACATTCCCAAGAACTGGAACATTAATGACAGATTGGTTGGAGAACTATGCAAACCTTATTGAAACTTATTATGATTAAAATATTAATAGTATAATAAAACGTGCCTTAGTTTGAATTGAATAAGATGACAAACAGTAAATGAGATTCAGTTCCATATTGACTAAGACACTAGTGTTTTGTATATTCATCTCTGGCTTTCAGGACAGTCTGGCATTGGTGTAACATGGACTCAGTCAAGGAGCAGATAATATTGACGTCCATTTTTTTTTAGCACAATATTATCTGCTCCTTAACTGAGTCCATGTTACACCAATGCCAGACTGTCCTGAAAGCCAGAGATAAATATACAAAACACTAGTGTCTTCCATATTGACTTTAGTGACTTTAGACACTAAAGTCACTAAAGTCAATATGGAACTGAATCTCATTTACTGTTTGTCATCTTATTTAATTCAAACAAAAATAGTATAATGAATCGTGCTTTAATCATAAAAATAAAACATTTTTTCATTAATAACAGTACTGCAGTCGTTATTCTTGAAACTTTTCACTATTATCTGATAGAGGAATTCAAAATATTTTTAATATACATTCAATACATCAATAAGTCTGAAATTTTAATTAGGAACTACAATACTTTTATCAACCTTACTTTTGGACAGTACTGTACACGAGACGAAACATGTTCTTAAATTATTTTACTACTAAAAATCAAGCTTGTATTCAATCTTTTTAGATGAAACATCGGGTTGCAAACATTTGAAAAAAGACAATACAATTCAAAACGTAGACATGAATAGTAATTTTTCATATTTTATAAGAAATGATGCCATAAATTCCAGAAATTGTAAACACTTAATACACTGTATAACGTACATGATTAACTAAAATTTGTTTCTGAAAATTAATTAGTTTTAATAAAATACTTTTAGCTGTTGTTTTTAATATTCCAAAAATACAATGTGAAAATGTGTAAGTTATGTAACAAGGTTGACCAAACTTTGTCCCCGCACAAGCCTCATGCCATTTGTCAGCTTTAAAAATTATTTATCGATCCACTTGGGCCAATACGAGGGCTGCATTCTCTATTAAAACTGTATTTTATATAATGGATATGTAATTATAATAATTAAATATATGGGAAGTCTAGAGCAGTGTTTCTCAAACATTTTGCTCACGTTACCCAATACATTTGTTTGTAATTGTTCTGGCACCCAAATGTTTATTATATAAAACTTTTAAACCTGGTAAACTGGAGTCACTGTGTACATTTTATGACAAAATAAAATTATGCATTATTGATAACTTCTGTGTGTGAAATTTAACATCAAGTACATTTCTAAGAGCAATTCGAGCCAATTTCGATTTGTAACAAATAATTTATTCCTTTTTCAGAATGATAGAACCCTTGGTCCCTTAATTACACTAATATTCAACAATATAGTCTTTTGTATTTATTTTTTTGTCCCTTTCAGTAATGCAAATCTCTATATCATGTAAATGCTACATTAAAGGGCATTATTAATTTAAAAAGTCATTTTCAAGTTAAGTATACAATTAAATTTTGCTACACACAGTCTACTTAATTAATGATGTGTAATATGAAGTGTTATAGAGATACCTCAACCATTTATAACTAACTTAAAGTTAAAATAATAAGAAATATGAACTTACTTTAGTTTTTAGAGGTTGCATGTTGAACTTTTCCTGTCCCTTCTAAATATGTTGGCTAAGTATAAGGGTCACAAAACAAGTTATCAGTTGTGATAAGGTAACACTTAAACATACTTAAACTTATATTAATCTTTCTACAGCTTTTCCACTTCCAAAATTTTCTAATAATTTATCTGGGAAAGATCAATTAAAGATTAGATGAATAAAGTTTGATGTCTATAGAAATTAGTTTAAATGATAGTCTGCTATAAAATATCTATTTTTAAATATTTTAAAGTATTATATCTTAAAATTTAAGAAAATGTATAAAATTATTCATATTTATAAGTGATAAAACTTATAAAAATGTTTTCCAATTTGAAATTTATCAGAAAACAACAGAATTTCAGTAACTATGTTAATTTAAAGAAATACAAATAAACAGAATGACTCAACAGGAACAAGTCTTTATCATTATCACCTTAAATACAGTATTTTAAATTGTGTGTGGGTGGACAGCATTTTACATAATTTTTTTTTCTTTTTAATTGTTTATTAAATAATTATTTTCTTAAAGTCTTACCTGAGAACAATTATTTTCAAATTTCTTACAATAGATTGGCCTAAAAGACGATTACTTTCATCATTCTTATTTTATCTAAAAATTTAATAAATTCTGCTATACTGTGTGTTTGTTTTTTGGCCCTTTTCTTTATAAAAGTAAGCAGTAAATATTTTTAAAATTTTTCAAATATTTAACAATAACTTTATGCTAATAAGTTGGATTTACCTGCCTAAAAGTTTTCTTAAAATCAACAACCTAAACTGTAAATTCGGGATGATAAATATTATAATAATTTAATTTTACATCGTTAAATCTTAATCATCACGAAAGTTTTAATCAATTTACATTTGAAAAAATATCTGTTATGCTTGTTTTTATGAGTAACACACATCATTATGTTACAATATCTCAATTGATATATCTTTACATAAGGTTTCCTATATCTTGTATGTCTATTTTTGCATAACTAGTAGCAAATCAACAAATAAATCAACTGAACATATATAATAGAATACTCATCCTCTATAACTTGGCAAAAACATTTTTTTTCTTTGATAAAAATCTGTTTTACATCAAGTAATGCAACTATTTGCAACTTATTACAGGTGCAAATGAATTATAGTTTCTTACACTTATCTTGAAGTTTTTGATTAAAAAAAATATAAAAAGATTTTGAACTTTTTTTTGAAATTTTATTTAAACTTTAAAAAACAACAGGGTACATTTCAGAACTCAATCTTTTTCGTTTGCTCTTTATGACAAAATACAATTTTTACATAAAGTCCACATCGAGGTATTGAGCATCTTGAGATACGATTCGCAGCAAGCAGTGGCAATTTGTTTTATATTGTTAAAAGATCTAAAAAATTAGTATTGACACAAAACAATATCTAAATATTAAACTGTATAAATTAATACAAATTTTGCATTTAATATAAATGACAATAAATGCTATCAGATGATATGAACAGAAGATACAAGCCTGTTTTTTTTTTTTATAAACATTGTATTAACACTTCTGTTTTACTGAAATAATCAGTTAAATAACAACTTGAATTACATAGAGCAAACATTTTTTAAAGAGTCCAATTTTTTTTTTACTTTCTCTAATTAGTACTTTATTAAAGGGAGTGGTATCTCTTAGTAAATTGGGATGAACTTTAATATTATTACTAGATAAGCACAGCAATAAGGTTCCTGTTATTTTGCTAAAGAGCCAGAAATGACTATCCATTTATTGTAAAGGACAAAGTTTATTGTTTATCATGATTTTGGAACCATGAATTTTGTCCTTCAACTAGAAGTTTTTATGATGGACTGTTAATATTCTCTTATAATATTCTGTAATAATGAAATAATGGTTCTTTTAATCCTCACATTTATAACACCAGTATAATTAATTATTGAAACTGTTGTGCTAAATTTATTAGTCTCAATTTAAAAGTTTTTTAAAGATAAAGATATATATTCTAAAATAAAACATACTTGGACTACAATACACTTCCCTTTCTATGCCTTATTGTCATTAAGGAAACTATCGTGAATTGATCAGTGATTTGTTTAATATTTAGTATCAAATTGTAAATTATTATAGAAGATTTACATCAATTGTTAAATAGGAGATTGTAAAGTGCATTATCACTTCATTCTTAATATTAATTCGTATTTAACAAGGAACCGGTGTAACATTTTTCAAACTACAAATTGTTTTCATGTGAAGATAATAGAAATGGTGATGTGGATCTCATTCAAAAAAAGTTCATCTAAAAATTGATTTTTAATTCCTTTTAAAAAGGTTTAATATTTATCTTTCCATATTTTCAGTGGAACTTTATAATGAATAAAATATTGCTAACTGGATCAACTGCCTAAAATTACAGATAGGTAGTAAAGGTATGGAGTAAAATCGACATTGTACATCGACAGTTTAGTTATAAAATTTTATAGTTTGTGCAGTTTGAGTAATAACACCACTCTCTGATTAGAACAAATAAACCTTTTAATTTATACCAAATTACTCCTGCCAGTAAAACGTTAACAGAGTTAACAACATTGGTTTTTGTATAACTGATCTTAAACAATTAACAGTATACTTGGCAAATAATAAACAATGCCGGTGATGATTTATCAAGCTCTCTCGTCCGTTCTATCTAAAAATTTTGAAAATATCTCTAACAATTAACAAAAAACTTAAGTTACAAATTGCAAATTACTTGCTGCGTAATCACAACCACAGGGACACAATTTGACAATGATGTTACTTATTACACAATTTAAAATATTAACAATCTACAATACAAAATAAAATTTCAATTATATAAAAATATAAACAACATTTTTACATTTCATACACTATAATAATTACAAAATTAATTATTAAAACTTTTATAACAATTGAATAATCAAAACTTAATTAATATAATAATTTTAAATTATTTTTATAAATTTGATTTCTTTCATTTTGAATCTTTACATGATTCTAAAACAAGTTAAATTCTATGAGTTATTATTTGAGAAATCTTTATGAAATCAGTTAATACAAAATACAAGTTAACATGTCCCTAAGAACATTAATTACATTATCATTCTGAGCAAATTGCCATTTGGCTACATCTGCTTATTGGGCTTTTCATTGAATGGAACATTTGAGAACCCTGTGATATAATTTCAAATGATAAATTTCCATTTTATAGGACAGTGCATTATCGCTAAGTTATATGAAGTACATTATTTACATATATATAATTATGTATGTATACATTTTCCCAACCTATGGTTTCAAACTTTGCATGGGCACAAAGTTTACGGTGTACACGTTGTCAGAAATATGCTCAATCAGTATATTTATAATTGTTAGAGCAATAATCACATAAGATTAATCTACATGGATTTGCCAAAAACTCTTAAATTATATGTATATATTTATTAAGCGTACAAATCATCAAAATCACGTGCAAAATATGCCTCGATAAAATGGTATTATCAATACTGTCCATACGCAACTTTTACTGATCAAATTTTGGGAAAAAATTTGATTATTAGAAGCTGCGTGTGTGTGGAATATCAATCGAAACTTTCCGCCAGAAAAATCCTCGTCGTGGAATCTTAAGAATCTATCCTTGTTTTTAATATTAAAAAATTACCATAGATTAATTATCTACAACAATCTTACTTTAATTTTTTCTTCCTCCTTATGGAATATGAGTTTGATATGACGAGAAACTAATCCAAAATCCTAGTGTTACTATTATTTGAAAAAGGTAGATTACTATAATTCATAAATGCAATATAAAAAGTGGCTGGGAATTAATATACTGTATATTATAATAAGTTTAATGATCGAAGTAAGATCATATATACAATTTTTACAATTTTAAAATTACCTACAAATTGATGGAATATGATATGATTTCTGAAAAATTTCAAAATAAAATTATTAAAAAGTAAAATAAAATTTTTTAAAAACACTAATTTCATAAAGAAATATGTTATAAAATAAAAATGTAAACAAACAATAAACTAACAAATTGTTTTATGGAAGAATAATGAAAACAATACAGAATGAAAAATTAATCAATAATTATAAATATATATTTTTTACATACATGAATTACACATTTTCCAATAGTCTCTGAGAATATAATAAATATATCACGATCACCTTTGAAGAGAGTAAAAACCTAAACTAAAGTAGAAATTTCACAATTTGAATTCGAAATTAATTACTACACTTTGATTATTTCATTTCTGCACGTATATATTGCTGTATATACATATATAAATACACAAATTCGATAAATGCAATGACAACAATTATGTTGGAAGAATTTGATAAAATACTGATTTTATCATATAAGGAGAAACCGAGCGGAAGAATGAATTACGTCTAACATTTCTGAAGTTTTATATAATGCTAATCTAAGAATTTAAAATATAGTCTTAATATTTTGGCATTCAACATTTCTTTTTATCAGTTTAGCATTTATTAATAATGATAATTGCAGAAACAAGATCTAATCTTAATCACAAGTCTAGATCGGTGGTTCTCAAACTTTCTGAGGCTGCGAAACAGCATTCGTATACTTTTTATTACAAAGATAATTGGCATCAATATATGAAAAAATTGATAAGCAGTTCCATACTTTTTATTCTCTCAAACAGTAAAGCAATGAATTGAATTAATACACTTTATTGTACTAAATAAAATAAAAATGCGAAATTGTCTAGTATTGTTTTGTATTGAATAAATTAATATGTTATAGTAAGTTGGAATAAATTTGTAATAAAAACTTTAAAAGTTTTTCCAGAAACACTCAAAGCAAGTTTGCAGAACACAGATTGAAAACCACTGGTCCAGATCATCCACTATACTACCGAGTCCTTAACTTAGTTAAACAATTTTTCAATGTTAACTGTTGTAGGTCATGAAGCTGTGGTTTTGATCTGGAAAGAAGCAATCTAAACCATTGCTTTTACTAAAACTTGTTTCTGTAATCAGCTTGTATCATATTTTATTTCATACAGTTCAACCAATACAATCAAATGAATAAGACAAATTTTTTGAAGTATCACACCATCAAGTAAGCTTTTCAACACACTTTGTTTTATGAAATCTGCAC